GGGGGTAGAGCTCTTCNCCTTTTTAGTATGAATGCTATGAGCAGACAACTAACTAACAATCAAAATAACTAAATAATACTCCTTTTACTGATGAACAAAATACTGTTTTCTAATACTAATTACGAAAACAGTAACTAAGATGGAAAAGAAAAATAAAGAACGATGTAGCACTGACCCATATAATGAAAATAAGTACCAAGTTTACTTTCTCAAGAGAGAAGGTCAGGAAATGCTGAAAGAGGAGGAGGTAAAAGCGTGGAAGGTAACGTGGAAAAAAAACACGATATCCGCTTCCTACTCCAAAGACGCCACATAGGTCGGAAGGTTCATCACTGCAATGGTTCCAAATTTATCCTTCACTGCGACAAGTCCCTCACCGCTAAAAAACGACCTCAATTCGTCAAGTGCTTCGGAAGGTGATAACCAACTACAGCCCTGCATGCACTTCACCCCCAAATCTGATTCCAGGTGTTGCTGGGGTAAAGACCGAGCTCCCTTCGAAAATCCCTCACCTCCGTTTACGATCAACCCTACCTCTCGATCAGCTTCACGACCCCGTTTGCGGGGTCGATCATCTTCGACGTTCCACCTCTCACTAAGTCGCAAATGCTCCCTAAGCCCACGTGCCGGACCGAGCAACGCCGTCAGCGATGGTGGGCCACAACGTGCAACCGAAGCATCACTGGGGCCGCCCTCGCCGACCTTATCGCTTTCTGTATCACCCACGACAGCAACACAGACCTTTGCAGGGAATAAATCCTCCTCCAGGGTGGCAATCCGACGCATTGTCAAAGGTCTTTGACTATTTTCTACTTCTGCAGAATTCTTCTCATCATCACAAGGCGGAGCCAGAATATAGCGGCAACACTTGTACGATACAAGCTCCGCACAATGGGGCGGCAAAGGCATCCCCTCGAGAGCTTCGATAAGAAAGTTGGGAGCAGATAAGGGCTCAAGGGAGGGAGAAGATCGCGCTGCTCCGCCAGGGTGCTCACTATTCCACCCCTCGCTGGCCTCGCAAACGCGTAGCCGCAGCTCCGTATCCCCATCTCGGTATTTAAGTGCCTTGACGCGATCATTACCCGAACCCCCATTGCAAGCAACGGTGTATAGCTGAGCAGCCGCCTGCGCTGCCTTCTCGTGAGCAAAGTGGACGTACGCGTGCCCGTTGTGTCCCTGCCCATCGCGCAGTATTCTTATGGACGTGCTCAAAGGGAACGAATCCTCGAGAAACGACTGAATGGATTCAGTGGACTCTTCTTTTGGTAGGTTAGACACAAATAGAAAAGACATATTTGCTATGTTTCCGCTTCGCATCCATTAGAGTTTGTATGGGAGAATATTCTATCACAAGAAATAATAATAATGAAGAGTTATGTCGAGAAGGAAAATACTAAGCAATCATTTGAAAGGAACATTGAAAGCCTGAAAAATACACAAACATCAAAAGGGAGATCCCAAAACGTATCTTGGAGATGTGTTGTACTTGCAAAGTTATCGGAAACCCAAAAAATTATATAAATTCAATTTAAAAAATGCAAACTACACTCCCTCCGAAGGCAACAAGCATGCTATTTCCCATTTTTTCCCAACAACTTTTCTAGTATAATTTGGTTTTGCTCCTCCAGATGTCGGTTCTGCTGCTGAATAAGCTGCATCTGAGTTAGAAGCACCTGGGAATAATCCTTAAGTAACGCATTATCAGTGATGTAAAGCGAACTGCTCGCAGATGTATCATTGGATCGCCGATCTCGACATGATTGCAGTGTGATCGCAACAGCGCTAAGAAGAGATGGCAGTCTGCTGAGCTCGACGTCATCCTCAGCGTCGATGCGGAGATCTGGTTGGTCTAGCAGATCTTTGAGGTGCTGAAGGGATTCGCGCAACTGTCGCGTGTGCTCCGAAAGCCTCGCTGTGGAAGATAAAGAAAGAGTACAGGAAGGTGTTCTCTGATAGTTGGGCGGAAGCTGCGCACCTGCATCAAAACGTGCAGGACGCGAGTATGGGTTGGTGAAGTCTGTGAAGCTATTGTTGACCACGTCCTCGGCAGGTGCGATGGCATTGAGATTTGCCGCGTCGAAATTCGCCTGTGCATCAACTGTATTTCGTGACGGGATTGAGGGGCTTCGCTGCGGCCGAGCATCAGCAAGACCTGCTTGCTCCAAACCCCTGACAAACGTCGCGTTTCCCTCCATTTCATAGGAGTCGGACGGCAGTGTAAGTGCTGAAACGTCCACTATTGCCGACATCGACACCGCCGACTCCGAAGCATTTTGATTAGAAAGCCGTGGTGTTGTTTTCATTGTAACATCCTTAGACGGTGCAGCAGGTCTAGCCAATAGCGAGCCAACATCGGGTGACCGTCGACTTTGAAGATTGAACAAAGGCTTCTTTTGGCCAGCCTCTGGTAGACCGCTCTCAGGGATCGGTGCATCGGGGCCCGTCTGCGGAGACTCGACCACCGTCTCATCTGCAATGCCGACATCGCTGGGAGGCACGGGTGGGTCGTCGTTTCGTAGTTGACGTGGAGTAGATGAAGGGGTCCCGGCACTCAATGTTTGGCTGCGCGCGCGGTTGGAGGCGACACGCTGTTTTTTGTGCTCCGCAAAAAAACCTGAAAGAGCATCAAATCTATCCCTTAGCTCACGGTTTGTGGGAGTGCCTTCGGAAAGCGCCCTAACCCGAGACCCTCGAGAACTGTCCGCTGCCAGATTCTTGCTGTTTTTCGTGTCCAACAAACGACCGCTTCGAGGAAATCGCGACGCCGTCGACAACGTCTGAGAACGGGGCCCATGGGTGAGTTGATCTATTCTGAGGGCATACTCAGCAAAGTTTCCGTGGGCGTCCAATATGCTCAATACGAGGTGGATGGGATCGGCACGGAGTGTGATAGCACCAATGACCCTAGCCCCAGAGGGGTGGCTCCCGAAGCAATGTTTCACTTCCCAAAAAGGCGACGCGTCGCCGAGGCGCATGATGTACGCACGATGGGAGTCGGCTATGGCCACAAGGTCAAGGGTCCGCTCATAGGTGACGTACACCGGAGACGACGAGGGGAAAAAATTAAGCGACTTAAGGAACCCCCTGTCGGGCACGTAGTACACGCAGCTGTCCGTGTGAAGAATTAAAACCCCCGTGCCCGCCACGCAGAATGAAAGTATCGATTGATCGAAAGCATAAAGTCTCCCTCCCTCAAGCTCTACCAATGTGTTGGCGGTGCTGCCGTAGAGTTGGTTTCCCAGAAAAAAAATTCGATTCAAAGGGCAGTTTGTTACGTCGAAACGTCTAACCCACAGCGGCACTAAATCAAGTGTCGTGCAGACATTATTCGTGGGTGACTTCCAGGAGCTACTGAATGCGTAAACGCTATGATTATCCAGGCAATACCCAGCAAAGACATCGGTGGAGTCACATGCGCATAAGCTGCTCAAGGGTTCCGCTTGTCGAAGACTGGTAGCCACACGCCACTCATCCGCTCCAGCATAGGCCACCAACTCGGCGTTGTCCAGCTCATATGTCAGGAGTACGCGACTTGCAGCATGGTAAACAGCACAAGAACTATTCACTACAACTTGTTTGCGCAAGAACATCTTCGGCGAGTACAGACGAAGATACCTTCGGGTCCACAGACACCAGGTCCCATGTGGCGAAGGTGAAGGTGATGGTCGAATCCACTGCACTAAATGCTCGCCCTCAACCTCGCCGGTTTCCACAGGGCAGCAGAAGGACCGTTGGTGGAACCGCAGTTTCTGCCCTTGTTGCGAGTCTCCGCCAGTGGCCATTTCCCCGGTCACAGGGGGGGCGACATTGGCGCCAATCGCACCGCCGTTGGCAGTCGTTGTTGCAGTTGAGGACTGAACAAAATGCTGAATCGAATGACCGCCATTGCTTGAAAAAAGGACGGCACACGATCCAATGGACACCCCTGCGGTGAAGTGTACTTCTGGAAAGGGGCCACCGGCGGCAGTGCCCTCAACCTTGATCCTACCACAGAACCCCCAGTTCGATGATAGGAAAAAACGAGCTAAAGCGCCGGAAAGCAGGATATAATTCCCTTTCCCAGCAAAAGACACAGACCTCGCGGGACTAATTTTGCAATCCATCCATCGGATAATCGCGCCAGTAAAGCGGTCAAACGCTACCAAAAAACCCGTCGCGGTGAGCGCGAGGAAGGAGCACTTCTTGGCATCATGACTCGCCGCGCAGTGCACGTACTCAACCCCCTTCAACACCTCAACAGTATCGCAGACGCGGTTTAACAGCGTCACGCCGCTGCCCTTTCGGCCGGGATGGCTGTCTCTGGGGAGGGCGGAGGGCCCCCCTCCCGCCGCGTCAGACCCCCCGGCATCCGCGCGACGCACCGTGAAGAGCGACAGCGCGCCGTGAAAGCAACCCGCGAAGGAGGGCGTCCTCGGAAAAGTACAGACCGCTCGCATCGGCTCCATCGGACCCCGCCAGAGTAGACACCTCTCTCGGACGTGCCACAGCGACAGTCGATGGGGCGAGGCGTCGTGGTGCTTCAGAAAGGCGGAGGAAAGAACCAAAAGGTCCTCGGATTTCGAATGCAACGTCGAGCCTTTAGCACCGGAAAGCAGAGAGGCAGCTACCGATAAAAAACACGCGCTAAATATCTGCTCACCAGTGAACTGCAGCGGCAGGCGGGATTCACTGGATAGTACGGGTGACGTAACGGAGGTCACATAAACCCCGTGCTCCGTCGTCCCAACGCACAGCAGGTCCTTTTCATCGTGGACGCGCACCACGGATATGACCTCCGTGGTGAAATCCTCAACCGGGCAAAAGACCGCAGATGAATCAGTTATCAAGCAGTCTAGCTTGCCACCGCATTCAGTTACCGCCAGTAGGTTCGGGGATACTGTAAATGCTAAATACTTCTCATGATAGCCCAACGATACTAACGAAGGGTTAGTGACACTATGGCCTGTAACCGTGCATGGCAATACAGTCTGATTCATTTGTAACAGTACTAACACAGAATAGGCAGGGCTTCTTGCTAATGTTGCAGCACTTCTGAGAAAGCGGTATAGTTATATTGGTTATGATATAAAAAGATCAAATATGCAAGCAAGGAAGCGGTTATGTATGTGTATAGAGAAGAAAAAGTACTTTCTGGCGTGCAGGCTCTATTCTATTATACTCCCCTTTTTAGTTGGAGCGATATCTTGTAAACCTAAGATGCTCTTAACGGGTCAAAATGAAATGGAACAAAATAGGATATTTTTCACCTTTCTAATCCAATTATACATGACTTTCGGTCTTAGCCAAGTGTGTGTATATATGCATGGGTGGGTCTGAGGCAAACGGTGGCGGAAGAAGAGCTCAGATGAGGGATGTGATGTTCATTCTCAGAACGCTGAAAAGAAGGAAATACTCCTCCCCCTGCACACTTCGACGAATACCTATTATAATTAGGTTGCGTCATGCGAACGCTGTGTAGAAGCAAATCGACAAAAAACTGCATGGCAAACATGAAGGTGAGGACGAAAAGGTAAATCATTTATGCTTTCTCTATTGTTGATAAAACCATACCCACTCGTTTCGCTTCCGCTAAATTACAGAACCTCATGCATGGCAACAGCAGATGGTGCGTCTGAGTTCAAGAATTGATGAAATTGTCGCCTCACAGAAGTAACGTTTAGTTGGTGCTGCACAACATTAACGCTTGGATCCTCAGATACCACAAGAACTTGAGTATAATCGGTGAATGGAGCCAGCAATGCTGTCAGCTCTCCTGTTGCGATCTGCAATCCGCACAGATTCGCTGTGTTGTTCATACAGCTCAACTTGAAATGCTTTATAGTATCACTTACCTCTGTAGTGCGGAGCTCAGCAGAACCAGGGGTGTGTGATGTCTTATCTAAATCATGACGGCTAATGTGTGCTAAGCATAAAAAAGTGCTACGCTCGTAGAGCGCTACCTCGATGGCATTGCAAGCGACTGCTATGGAACGCATCGTCTCAATCAGTACTTCACGATGCGGGATCAAGGCGCGTACAACCGAGCTGTACGCCAAGTACAGTGAAGGCAACCAAATGCTGGTTGCAAAGAACTGTATATCAGATCCGTCAGAGTCAATACTACTTAGTATCTTCTGTTTGTGCATCTCAAAGATGCGCTCACGCATGTTTTTGTTGATGAGATCCATCTTGTGTAAGAACACAAAAACCTTAGCTTGTGGGCTGTACTGTCGTATATAGCGCATAGACATCTGAAAGTACTCGAGCATCTCCGGTAACTTCCAATCCATATTAGAACTACTACTGTTTGCAGCGCTCGACACAAATCTCTCACCCGCACTACCACTGTCTCGGCTCATGCTATTGATATCGAACACAAACAGCATAACCGCAACTGAGCGAAAGATGTATTCCTTTTGACGATTGAGGTACTCCGAGACATACCGATGCTGACCACCACAGTCCCATAAATTTAGAAAAAGGTTACGCAGAATGTGTACTTGACTTTGATCCAACGAAATTGTGATTCCCAGACGTAGTGCGTCACGGGGAAGGTAGTTGTCGAAAATAATACTACGCATACAGGTTTTCCCTGCACCACCTGGCCCCATAAGGAGAAACTTGTGCATTTGCTTCTGATCCATCGCAGAAAGAAGACAAAATAAACGACTTCACTGCAGCAACAACAAAATGAGGGCTACCCTGTTGTATAGAACTGTAAGAAAAAACTCCAAAGCAGAAAAAAAGGTTAGTAAGGTGTTAAACTCAAAGAGAAATAACAACATGTGTGAAATGTAAACGTTGAAAGACCTACAACGTAAAATTAAAATACACTATCACCACAGAAGTTGTCTTAGTTCATGACCTTTCAAGGAGATGAGAAAGGATTAAAGACACTCAGGGATACATATCAGACATCTAAAAATCAATTTCACATGTAAAAAAAAGTATCAAAGAATGACACTCACGACAAACAAGGCCTTGTCATGGAACCTGAGAAGTAACAAAGAGTTGTAGTTGGTAGTACAATAGGCTTCCAATCCTAGTTATTCATTCTTTGCCGACTGTATGAAGAAAACGTCATCATAGGGAGAGAAAGTGGGTAGGATAGAAAAAAAAGGGAATGAATATTTGTCCAAAAAAAAGGAGAAATAACTCCTTGAAATGAAAGCAATAAATCGAGTTTATTATCGCAAGCATCAGGAAAGAATATAATCGTATTAAAACCATCCTACAAGACACACGCACTTAAGGGCTCGAAAAAAAAAGAGAGCACAGACCCTGGGGTTGTGCACTGAGTTTAATACTGATATCAGTTTGTAATAATCGTGCAATAAGTCAAGTTCATCACCCATCCCCTACGCAGAAGTTTCAGTTTATATAAAACTTTGGAAACAAAGAGGAATCAAAATGGGGACTTGAATGCCCCTAAATTTGTCAAGACGCATACATTCCAAGAGTAAAAATAAAAGTCTACACCCCCCAATACTTAGGCAGTACGACTTTTGAAAACGCCTTTGAGCAGAGGTGCTACAGAGAATCTAACTACTCATTTCTTCCACCAGCAAAAAGTGTAGAAGCGTCTTGGCCTATATCTTGAATGTCTGGAAAAATTATAGGGCAAGAAACTCGTCTGCTCATGCGCTTGCTGGTAACATAGAAAGCAAATTGAGGGAAAGAGCTCTAAATTTGACCTCGATGGTGATAAAAATGAACTGAACTAGTAATAAGTATAGAAAAAACGAAAAATTTTGTACCTTTATAGATGTAATGAGAATCATTTATATAGAATATTGCGCCCAATAATTGAAAGGGTAACAAGACCTGCTACCTAGAAGCTGATGTTGCTTAAAGCGGTCAGAACAGCTTCTATGAAAGAGGTCACTCAAGAGTCCCTATAATTAATGTAAGTATTCAATGTTTTCCACTAAAAATATTATAACCGCTACCTACAAGCGACTACAAATTTCTTACACATTACACTCTATGAATCATATAAAGTGATTGGAGTTCGCTCAAGTTGACTATTTTCGAGCCATAAATCTGAAGAAAGAGAAGAAAATGGTGAGAAAAGGTAGGGCTGATGAATCGAAACACATAGAATTCTTAACCTAGCCCAAAGAAAACAATTAAAATCAATATTGAAAATAATAACAATAATACAATATAACTTTTTCGAGACGGATACCCCCACACACCGGTTAGCTTTCTTTTTTTCGTAACATATTGACACAGCCCTAATATATCTGGTTTCAGACTAACTGAAAGAGTATTAGACGCAAAAAAGTGCTTGAGAAAATACTCCAAAGCATTAATTTTTAACAGATATCACCTATATAACAAATCCAGGGTAGCGTACACAAGAAAACTAGTCTAAGCCTTCTGCATATGCAGGGAATGGAAACAAATAATTCGTATCTCTCAAGCGCACTGCCAATTTAGTTATCATTCTTTTTACGTGTTCAACAGACATTTTGTATGGACACAAAATATTCATTTTCAGGGGTGAAAAACTCAACTAACCTTCCCCTTTAGTCCATTACCCCATCATCACAACAACAGCAACCAATAACCACGTTAAGTATTAAAAATATTCCCCACCACCACCCACCCTAAAGTCTAAACCCTATGGATCTTTGGGCTAGTAAACCGACCCTTCCTCTGGCTGCGGAAGCTTACGATTCGCTGGCTGCTGCATCTCCTTACGCAATTCCGCGAGGCACATCTCCATCGTTGTGCGTCGATCCCAATTACGGAACAGATGAAACTTAGTAGGATTCACGTTACCGTCCGAATCGACGCATGGCAGATTTACTTTGCTCACAAAACGAATATGCGGTGGAGCTTTGGGGTACATTTCGTCACAATAGATCTCTAACAGGAGAATGCGATACTCAAACGTGGTGCCAGGGGGTCCCACTATGGTTCCATTCCAATTGTGAAAGTAAATGTCATCTGTATCGCGCAGACCAACAGAAACATTTTGGTTCAACCCAGTTCCCTTTTCACCCGCCTCCAGTTCCTCTAAAAGACGAAAATTACGTGGGACTTCAACCATGATGTTGTGCTGTAAAAAGGGGGTTTCTTTTTGTATGTTCACCACGGTAAACAAGAGACCAGTACCACGACGGTTTTGTTTCTTTTTCTCTCTGACTTTTTATTTGAAGATAAAAATGAGAAAAGAAAGGATTCGGTCAAACAAATTTGCATCCGTAGCAAGGTTGGAAAGATATGTAGAAGCACAAAAGAAAGGATACTCAAAGAAAGAGGAACTAAAAGGAATTTTAGTCTTCTGTCTCACATTTGGGGGTAATTAACATTTTCTTAAGAAGAACATTTATTTATAGCCGAATAATCGCAGGTCACCATGAGCAGGGAAGTTGTTTTAGAAATAATAATCAGTTAGCAGCTAAATAATGCATATCATAATCTGATTATTACTCTCAGTAGAGGTTTCGCAATGGGTAAACAAGGAAAACGGGGTGAAAATACATAAAGCAACGAGACCACGAGAGAATAAAGATGCTTGGTAAAAAAAAAGGGGTACTAGATTACTAAGGTCTTCAAATGCTTCATAAATTCCCCCCTCCTCTTGTGTGACACTCTTTCACATGCAACAACTATAGAAACTGTTTTTTGCTTATTCACACCTCTATCAAACGCGCCCCATCATGCACACCTCACTCTTAAGCTCATGCAAAAGGTAAATTAAGAACAAATTACTAAAATAATCTCTATACGCCTTCGTATGTCCCTTGTAGTAGCAATGAATGAGAAAAACAAAACTATCTAAAAATGTTTTTGGTATGATGAATCAAAATTGTCTCCATTAACATGTCAAAGGAAAGCCTATTAAACGTGGTTTTCCCAGACATCACACACACCTCCTCATTACGTATTTAAACTTAAAGACATAAGGTTCCGCAAAAGGACTCAATTTTAGCATACGAAACCAGAATAAAAGCAAACTGTAAAAGGCTAAGCGACAAACAATAAAAAACTTATGTTGGTAAAAAGGCCTTAGCTCCACAAATGTTCACTTCCACATTTGTAGGAAGGAAGGGGTCAATACAATTTGTAAAGTTTAATCTAAAAGTGTAACCAAGGAAAAGTGTACAAGAGTATTGCATTTGTGGAGGGTTGTGTGTCACTTAAAAAATTGAAATTTGGAAACATCATCAGCAATCAAACATCCTGAAAATGGGGGGAAAAAAATCCGCTCTCCCGCACACACACATATCTAGCTGCAGTTTTAGCCACTATCCTACTCTTAGACAGCTTTCAGATGAAAAGGGATATAGAGGACGAGAGTGGACAAGTATGCAAATCGCCCCTCAATGGAATGAATAAATATCATTCTCATATGTCTCATCTAAGATTCATCTGGAAGGTGTGTCTCAGCGGATCCATCCACGTGAACAATCTTATACACCCCATCAGGGTAGAGAATTTCCTTCGTACCGTCTGGCATGTGGCGCTCGCTTTGCCCGGTGGCGCAGAATTCGAACAGCTGCACCCCGCTTGGGAGTTGGGTGTGCGACGTCTGGGCGGTGTCATACCAATAGGTACTTTTACCAGACGGGAAGGTACATTTAATATCGCCATTCGTGAAGTGCAAAATAACATGCTGAGAGGGCAAAACCACCTTAACGGTGCCATTCGCGTAATGGATCTCCTTCTTCCCACTTCGGTAGGCGATCTCGCGCTTGTTAGGACTATCGGCCTGCGTCGTCGAGGTGATGATCTCGTCGTCCGGATAATCCTCCTCGGGCCGTGGTTCCACCTCCTGAAGAAGTTCCTTTTTGGTAGGAATGTGCGGCTTCAGCTTCAGTGGTACAACGACTGGCTTTGCAGATGTGGTATTTTTGGCACTCCCTATCACACGAGGGGTGCGCAAGGGATGCTCAGCAGCCTTGCGCTCCTTTAGGGCGTCCTCCGGTGGCTTGGAATTAGCCTGCGATGGGCGTCGTTCGGATCTCTCGCTTTGCTTTTTGATAAGCAAGTTTATCTGTTCCTTTGCCTGTTTTTCCTGTTTCATACGCGCCTCTTCTGCCTCCTCGCGAGCACGCTGTCGCTCCTCCTCCACGCGCTGTAAACGCTCCTCCACTGCCTTAGCCCGCCGCTGCCGAGCAGCCGTGTTCGAGCTCTGGGGTGTGAAATCAAAGACTACGTGTTGCACTAGTTTCGCCGGAACTCCACTGCTATGGGTGGATCCATTATCCTCGTTGTCTATTGGGATCGAGGTGTCGACGACTTTCGCAGGGGGTTCCGCAGGAACCGTGGTGGGGGCGTTCTCTGAGTTGTCGTTGCGAGTGAGGGGGGGGGTTGGCTTACTGACGACCGTAGTCGGCCTGGTTTTGGGAGTGGGCATGACTAAATTGTTAATTTGTTCTTCCTTTGCCATCGCCAACAACTCAGAATTACGGCGAGTTAGCGAATCGATATCCCTGCGCATGCGTAGGACCTCCGCGCGGTGCGCCGCCTGAGATTCCCGCATCGCGGAGGTGAGTTCCTCAAGCTGCGCATGCAGCGATTCGTTCTCTTGGTGAAGCCGTTTATTAGTCTCACGCTCCATCGACAAAAGTGTAGTGACACTTTTGTACCGCTCGTCAATGGAATTGACCTCCTTGCGAGCCTCTCGCTGGTCCTGCGCACGGAGGGCCGCCAAGTTTGCCCGTTCATCATCGAGTTGCTGCTGGGCGTCCAATTTGTACGTCTCAAATCGCTGCCGCTCACGATCTAGTTGGCTCTTAGCGTACGTATATCGTGCGCGTTCCTCCTGCACCGCACGGATCTCCTGCTCGAGCTGGAATACCAGGCTCTCCTCCTCATGGCTGCGGTTTATTAAAGAAAGGCTGTACTCACGGAGCTGAGGGGGGGAGCCACGGAAGTAGTTGTGGTCGTAATCAACGTAAGACGGATCCAGGTGATGAGGCGGGACGCTCGCCATGCGGCGGCCACCAGGACCGGCGCGTGGCCCCAGGAGCCCATCCCGCCCCCG